CGCACAGCGTTGACCAGAGGTTGACCTCCACAGTAAACCAGACCGTCATGTAGAAGAACTGACTGTGTTGTTGAAAGATGGCAGAAAACATCTTTTAGAACTGATCCTGGTCCAAATGAAGCTTCACTTCTCCAGTGGGATGTTTGGAACAGTGATTGAGAATTATCAGCTGCTCCATCACCACGGGCACGCTCATCCCTTCCCAGTCTGCTGCCGCCTTCGCTCCAGCAGTTTGGTAACCAATAGCAACGATCCCCCATCCAGGAGCAGCCAGAGGTTTTTGCATCTTCGTGTGAAACACAAAAGGCCACCGTTGGTCTCAGACGGTGTCCACATCCGATGGAAACATTGTTATGCATCTGGCCTCAATGATGTGCCAACCAGCTCTGCTCAGGTAATGCGCCCACATTGTATTTCCATCCTGGAGACTTTCTCGGATTCAGGGAGAGGATGAGCTTCCTCCAGGCTGACTGACTAAAAGGGATGTGGGAAATGGAGACGAGCCTTTAATCCCCCCAAATCCCCACCCCAGTACTAAGAGTTCTGTCAGCAGAATGGTTTTACTTTTCTTTCATGCTGCTATTATTTCCAAAGCCAGTCCAGAGGGAAGAACTGTACTTCAGGTGGTTAGTGTAGAGAACAGCACTTAGTCTTCTTCTAGCCTAGCTCTTAGAGTTATGTCTCTTATTTGCTGCATTATCTCACTTACTTTTCAGATTTGAACACAGCTCTGTTCGGCCTGCGTTGAAAAGATGAAGGTGCACGCCATTAAATGCCACGTCGTCTACAATGGCAGTCCTGGCTGGAAAAATTGATTTTATGGGGAGAATATTTCAGTAGCTCAACCAGAGTTAAAATAAGAACTTCAGTAGGTAGAGGAAAGTATGTTGGGATCATACAGAGTTTAGTTCAGAACACTGAAATTAAATCTTCAACATAATCTGAAGAGAAGCGTAACGTGACATGAGGCTGCAGTCTCATCTCATGTCTCTCTTTTGCTTCAATAAGATTTGCATTTCTTGGCAGAATCGGCCTCGTCCAATGTTTTCTGTGTCCAATTGAAACACCATCATCCAAGTAGAAATCACTCTTATGTCTGCCAATCGATGATCCTCTTAGAAAAATCTTAGAAGTTTTTTTTCAATCTCTTGTTGTGCTTGAGGAAAGGCCCTGGGTCAGTTCGCCCTATTTCTAGTCATAAGCAGTTAGAGATGGATGTCTACCGAAACCGAGCCGCTGACGCTCGATGGTTTGCTGGTTTAGGATCGTCGTGTTGTGGATGAGCTTTGTCTGAAGTGTTGAAACCTTGAACTCCATCAGTAGGTGAAGCCAAACGGGTTCATGTTTTTGGGTTTGCAAGAGGGATTTCTCACCAGACCCCCCCCGCTCTTTGGGATGATGCAACATGCACCCCTATGTGTCCATTGGCTTCAACATTGCGCGACTGTCTGCCATCTGTACTCCCACACATGGTGGGGAAATTCCACAATGTTACAACTGGCCTCCAACCCAGGAATGCCGTCATCTGCAACTTGGAGGGATCCTCTGTATCTGGTGATGGTCATTGTTTTGACTGGCTGCCTGGCGCTGCAGCAGCTCCCTGTAACCCTGTTACCCTCTTCAATACGCCGACACATCTGCCTTTTAGCAGCTATGTGCAGATGAAATCACTGACATCTGCAGTTGTACCAAATTATGTCCAAACTGAACTGTTAAAACTGCCTTGTTTGCCATTGTGTTTAGCTTTGACATCTCGTGTGTAATTTCAATGACACAGGTTCAATGACCCTCAACCTTTTCTTTTTCGGATATCTTCCATCCGGTACAGCCAGGACGAACTGACCTAAAAACATCAAGCCAACACCAGTCTTGTCTTATACATGTTCTCTGTGATGTTTTCTTTGGTCTGTAGTTGATTTTCTCAGTAAAATCAGTTTGATTAGATGTGTGAAGGGACTCTTCCCTGGTGGCCTTATCAGAATCTTAATAAAGCGCTTATCATGCTGGCCTCTAGTCAGCTGCATACATATCTTCTTGAGTCTAGATTATTGTTGAGTGGCAGTCTGGAGAATTTCATCTCGAATCCAAAGGCCTTCTTAATGTGGGTAGTTTGGGCTCCCAGAATGTTCTCAACACTGTGCCTTTAAGGTCACGCTCAGCAGACTGTACTTTTTGGACTTTTAATTAAAGTTTTTAACCCTTCTTCTATGTTTTATCTGGTTAATGTTTTGCTCCACGTTGCCACGGTGTGGATGGCTGGTATACCTCAGGACCTTTTGGTTGTGCCTTCTATTTAACCTCAGCAACGTTTCCATCCCATCGTTGCTCCTTCAGATACTAAAGGCATTCTTCCATAGTCAGCCTTGTTAACTAGCATTGCTCTGTGTTGAGTCTTCCAGCCGACCCAGAGGACACGGGAAGAGGTCCTCTCGGTTTGGCCTTTGAGATCAATTTGGCAGAGTAATGCTTATTTGATGGGGGGGGAAAAATTGAGTTAGATAATTAAACAACCTTGGTTCGTTCAGTGATGAAAACACTGACCCGTGTTCCCGTCTGCAATCTGCTGTGAGTCTGTGTTTCTATATTCTGTCAGATGTTTAATGAATCAGTTCAGAGGTCTGATAAAGCGGTTTGTTGTCTAAGTAAATCTAAAACAGAGCAATCAGTGTTCAGCTGGATCGAATGAATGTCTCAAAGTTAGATGAGCCGTCTCCTTGTTTCCCTGCCGGGGTCCAGCGCTGCTCATCCTCATTCCTACCATTTCTGTCTTTTGTGGCCTCGCTTTCAGATCCTGGAAGTGAGGCCCATCACAGAACACCTGCTGAAACCCAAATATTCAGAAATAGTGTTGTAATCTCAGCTGTCGACAGAAGCTCTCGATTTACCGGTCGGTGTACGTTACTATCCCCATCTGTGATCACAACCTCTGGGCAGTGACCAAAAGAATGAGATCATGGATACAAACAGCCTAAATGAGTTTCCTCATCAGGGTGTCCTGTCTCCTGACACCCTGAGGAGTGTCTAGGGCAGGGGTGGGCAACTCGAGGCTTCGAGGCCAGCGTCCTGCAACTTTTAGATGTCTCTGCTTCAACACACCTGAGTCAAATAATGAGGTCATTAGCAGGACTCTGGAGAACTTGACGGCACTTGGGAGGTTATTCAGCTATTTGATTGAAGTGTGTTGGACCAGGGAGACGTGCAAGAGTTGCAGGACACCAGCTCTCCAGGACCAGGATGGCTCACTCCTGGTCTAGAAGTTTGGTCATCGGGGAGTGACTCAGAGTAGAGCCACTGCTTCTCCATGTCAAAGTGGCTCGGACATCTGGTTAGGCCGCCTCCTGGTTAGGATACCGCTGGGTTTGGAGGAGTCCTAATCTGAAGGAGTTAGGTCACCTCCTAACTTGGACGAGTCCTGGTTAGGAGGACGCCTCCTGGTGAGGTATTCCAGGCCCATCCCACCAGGAGAGCCAGAGGAAGACCCACAACACCTTGGAGGGACGATGTTCCTCTGCTGACCTGGGAGGGAAGGCTGGGTCCATCTGCTTAGGCTGCAGCCCTTGTGATCCTAATCCAGATTAAGAAGGAGTTGATGAATGAATCTCAGCTGTTGTCTGCTTCAAATCATCTTGTCATTCATTAATTGTTGGGTTTTTCTTCCCAAAGGGGTCACATAATGGTTTTAGAATGAATTTAGAAGGTTGATTGAAATACTGCATTGCACTTGTCTTTTTTTCGTTCTCTGTAAGGAAATGTTTGTTTCATTGTACAGATGGTGCATTTTAAGAGTTTTTCTTTAGGTTGTATATTGCTTATAATTGTTGCCAGGTGACAGGTTATGATGAAAGCTGAGCTGCATATTCTCAATAAAGAAACCAGACAAAAGTCTTTGAGCTTTGTTTCATTTTTTTTATCTCGATCATGTAGGATTGAGAGTTTTGCTTCTGGTAATCAGCATCTAAAGTAAGGTACATTCATTACACAAGAACTTCTGCCTATCTCTGTAAATATGTTGATTCAAAAACTTAGAACTAATGATGCATCTCTTCAGAGCATGTTTTCAGGGTATCTCCGCATATTGTTCTTGTGGGCTGGTTCATCTCACACACACACACACACGCACACACACTCTTGTACCTAAGGGTAGTTTAGACCAGTAGTTCTCAAACTTTGGGTTGGGACCTCTCTTGGGATCATGAATATGTAAGTCTGAGGTAATGAGGTCCTCTTCAGAGATAACCTAAATACCATAATGTCGACAACTATTAGAACTGTTGTAAAAAGTAAAAACAGGAAATGAAACTGAATAAAACCAACATGTTGGTCATTACATATTACATTGGCTGTTTCTTAACGTGTTCTCACGCATACTTAACCAAGAGTTGGAGTCATGTCCCTCATTTTGTGGCTCAGAAGCTGAAAAGCTCAAGAACCTCTGTTTTAAATTAGTTTTTTGGACAGTGGTCATGTGCAAAGGCTGTTCAATGCTGCTTGCACCTTTCACAAATTATTCGAAATATGAAAGGTTCAAATAAAGCTCACTTTACTTAAAGGGGTGTGCATAAAAATGACATGTGAACATGAATGAGTCTTCTTGAATGTTTGACTGTTGTCATGTAGTGTCATTCGGTAAATAATGACGCTTTTAAACCAAAGTTGCATTAAAAGTCCATCAAAAGTGCAAACTTTGCATTAAAATTGTCATTATCAAATGACACTTTAAGACAACAGTCAATAATTGTGAAGAATCCTTCATGTGTATGACAGTCAGTCTTATACACACCCCTTCAATTAAAGTGCTACCGAAATATTCGTGTTAGCCTAAGTGTCGGCGAATGAGGTGAAATTAATGTTGACTTCAGGCGTTTGTAAGATTATTCAACAAAAAGAGGAAACACTACAGTAGCTTCTCTTGATTAATAGCATTAGCTGCTACACAGAGAGCTGGGAGGATTTGAAGGTCTCTGCCGCCCTCTGGTGATGGAAGCGGGGAATGCAGCCTGCTGTCTCCCGCCTGCCTCTCCTCTCTGCTCTCTTCTCCCCCTCGCTGTGAATGAAAGCAGATCCTCAGGTATGCTTTCACCCACAGTTGCTCTCTTTTGGCCGCCAGCAGCAACCACCGAGCCAGGGGACCGGAAGCGCTGGATGTGGGAGACAATTTAAAGGACTTTGAAGGCAGGGAAACATTAAAGCATCTCATTATGGCGACTATAGGAGACTTCGACCCTCTAAACTCCACTGTACCTGCGACCAAAATTGAAGTCACCGTATCCTGCAGGTAAGCCCTCCTCACGCTTTCACCTGTTCGCCAGAACATTTCAGTGGGAACCAGTCCCCACGCTCCTGCTCGTTTCACTCTGCTTGCTTTTTTATTTTCATTTTTTTTTTTTTTTTTGCCCATTCTAGACTTTTCCGCTTCTTCACTATTTATATCACGGACCTGCTCTCGTGTCCAGAACAACTCTTCTTCTTCTTGTTTCGAAAGGGAAAAATGAGTATAAGCTGTGGGTGTAGGAGTGCGTGGGGGTGTGGGGTGGGCAGTAACCGACAGGAGCGTGGATTTATTCTGATCGAGTCCACACTGAAGAGCTCCAGAATAGCGCGCCTCTGCTCGGCTGGCTGCATGTTACCCACTAAATCCACAAGGTTGGCTTTCCTCACATCACAGAAAGAGGAAGACCTGGGAGAAATGTATCTAAACTACTCCTTAGGGCGGGGTGTCCAAAGTCGGTCCTCACGGGCCGAGTTCCTGCATGTTTTAGTTCAGCACTCCTAGGTTAAATCGATGTTCTGGTTAGCAGAACACTGACCTGATGAGGAGGTTTCTACCAACACCAGGCAGGGAGAGAACCCGACTCTGGACACCTGGTATGCACCCCTCAGTCAGACAATAAAGGAAGGTGGTCAAATGTTTTAATATTCTTGAATTATTAGATTTAAAAAAAATCTAAGTAGAGCTGCTATAAATACAAACAACATGGTTCTGGTTGCCCCAGTTAACCTAAATTAGTTGACGATTATTTCAATAATCGACTCATCGCGATTAATTGGAGTAATTGTTTCACCCCTATTTCGGTTTGATTAAAAATAAATCTTCTTGAGGATAGAATGAAAAAAAAACATAATAGAACACAGGAATTAATGAATCCTGGTCACAGTGAGGTATATTTACATCTGTTGCCAGGTGCCTGAAGGTCTGAAGCTGTTAGAGCTAAACTGGATCGACTTGGGGGGCTATGCTCCACTGTCATTTCCTGTTATGTTGACAAGCAGCCAAAGGTTCACTGTGCTGAGATTGTTTTCGGTAACTAAAGCTGACTTAACGACGACCAGCAGAGGCCTGGTGATCTCCATCAAGTTTTTAAAATGTTTGTTCACTTCATTTTCTAATGAATATCCTTATCATCGTTTGCGTGTGACACACAACACAAAAATAAAATGTAGAGAGGGTGTGTTCAATGACAATGATCAAAACTAAACTGAGGTTAAATTGTGTTGTTAAATTGTTCGTTTCCATATAGAACTAAACAGTGATTTAGAAGTTTCGCTCATTTTTATGTCGACTTTTTGGCATTTTCCTATAGAATTTAAAGAGGCAGTGCTGTGTAAAATCAACGTTTTTTGAGCGTTACGTTGTGTTGTAATGTTATCCTCTCATCAAAACCATAATCGGAGTGTTGGCTTTCATGCATGTTTGAGAAATCCTTTAATCTCCATGGCAACCATTCATCTGTGCAAAAATGCCTGGGTGAACCTCACGGTGCCTTCGCAGCTTCTACTCAGAGCTTTAATTTTCAATCTTTCAAGACTCCGCCTCACAGAGCAGCTCTCCCGCTCAGCTCCTTCAGACTAGCCAGCAGCAATTAGCAAACACCTGGTGGAACATCTGTTAACCTCATTATAGGATTTATTTCTCAGTGCAACGCTGGTAAAACAAAAAAAAAAGTTCTTAAAGGGTTAATGGAGGAGCCATGTTGTGATGACTTCCTGAGGGCGGAGGTTCTGAAATAGCAGGAGTTTTTAAAGATTCAGAGGCCTAATGTCAAAGTGTTAAATTACAAAGTAGAATTTCTTTTAAGTCGTATTTGATATATGCAGCATTTTTATAATAACTGAAGGTAACATAGTTGCTTGATCGGGCTATAAAAATGTCACAATGTGGGTGGAAAATGCATAATTCTGCCCCTTTAATGATCGGCATCAAAGTCCAGGTCCACCTGTCTGGAGTTCCAGTGTCTACTGAAGTGGATGCATTGAAGCTTAACAATAAAGATGTTTTCAGTACTTCTTATTACATTCTAAACAACTGGGAAAGTTTTATAAAAGAATAATGAAACAACACGGTTTTTCCTGGTAGTCACAAGTTTATGGGATTTCTCTGTCCAACTTCAACTTCACGGTTACAAGCCACAAATACGTTTGCACCAAAAATGCCTCCATGAAAACACACCTGATCCGACTCTTAGCCACCCTTAGATCCAGTGAACAGCCTGGGCATAATGTCTCAGTTAATCTGACACATCCTCGGATGTGCTGTTGCTGTTCAAAGCCATTGGAAATGCAGGTCGCTTCCATTTCTGAACGAACAATGTGTGTGACAGAGAGCTTTCAGGTCGGATGGATTAAATGCAGGGAAACGAGATGCTGCCGAGGCCTGGGTTTATACACGATTGTGTGCAGAAAGCGCATTCATTTGCAGGCAGGAAGGTAACCGCTACTGATAGCCCAGATCTACTTAGAGTGTTTGTCATTTTTCTACAGCACTTTTGTGTCATATTGGGATAAAAATAGAAGAGAAAACCCATCATTGTCCATTACAGATGGAAAGCTCCAGAACCAGAGGAGTGAAGCGTCCTCCTCCTCCGCCTATATTTTCAGTCGCAGTTGATGACTGATGTTTATATGTGCTTTGATCCTCCTGGCTTGTAATAAATATAGTGTGCACTGGTTCTATTAGATGCTTTGATCAAACATTGATGTCACGATGAAAAACCCAAAGCTGTTAGAAATGCACGTTTGAGTAACTTTATGAGTGACTTTAGCCAAACGTCTGGAGCAGAAAGCTGGAATTTCCAGCATCTTCAGCGTTTCTCTGTTTGGAAGAACCAGTTGATATTAACATCATGGTGACATGCAGCTGCAGCTTTCTTCTGCTCAATCAAATCCAGAATGTGTTTTCTTTTTGGATTGAGATCTTATAACTCAAGCGGGAGCCACTTGAGTACAGAGGATTCATCATCTTGTCCTACCACGTGAATGATGAGGCTGACATTGATGAGTCTGAAGTTGAAAATAACTGGTTGCTCAATCAAACATCAGATTCTTAGTAATAAATAAAAATGATTTGATAATTTTTGTAAAAACTCAAATGTTTTTAAATTTTCATCTTGTCTGCTGGATGGTGGCACACTGACATGCAGAGGGGTGGGTTACTCAACTTGAAAACCAGGGTTTCCTCCAGTATTTATAAGCCTGGTGGGTCACCAGGCTTCACTTGTGCCCCCACTGGGCTAAGCATTGCTTATTTATTTAAGTCTTTTTAAAATGTTTACATTTTTTAAGATTTTATAGTTGGTGTTCAGGTGTTGATCTTCAAGTCTTCCAATAGCACATAATTATCAAGTGATATTTTCAAATTTTCTGTCAACTTTAAACATTTTTTAACTCAGGCTTAGCAAGTTTTCTGGGGGAAACTTTGCAATTAATGGATGGATGAATCTTTTTTTTTTAAATTTCCTATTGAAAACTGTCAGCAGTTTTTGATATAGACAACACAGTTAGATTTGCACAGGTTCTGCATGATGCAGTTGTTATGGCCTGAATGAAAATGCGTGAACCGGCTCGCTCTGAATTCTCACTGCTCTGTCTTCAGGTTTTTATTTGTGTTGCGCAACCCAAGTCGACGACATATTTATCGACTACCAGGCAGCAGAACCACATATGCTCATCTGCCAACGACTGGAGACGAAGTGACACTCTGTTGTTGCCATGCCATGTGTGTTGTCAGACCCGGTGTTTGACATGGAATATCAGCCATGACAGATTGTTGTTCTGCTGTGTAAACACACAAATACGATTTGATCACTTGTCAGCGGCAATTTGGAGGCTCAGCCTCACCGAGGAGCTCTGGAAAACAAGTCGGTGTGTTCCCAGTGACGAGCTGGTGGAGTTATGTGTGTCAACATCTGCTCCTGATGGTGCACCGGTGTGAGTGTGGATTAGATGCTGCAGAGTAGAAGTAGGTTTTCTTTCTGTCTTATAGAAATGAAAACCTCTCCGTCCTCCTGGAGATCTTATTTGACCAGCTGAGGTCGACGCGCTGCAAAAACACAAAATCCTACAAAGTATTTTTGGTTTAGTGCAAATATCTTATTCTTCGGAGCTTGTTTTAAGAACATGAATAAGTATTATTACTTCACTTGCAACAGTACATTTTTCCTATAAGTAAAATAAGCTGCCGATGGAATTAACACTTTTTCATCAACATTAAGGAATTGTTGACTTAAAACAAGCTCCTATATCTTGCTGAAAAGTTATGAGTAAGTTGGTTTTGTCTTATTTTAACTTTTGCACTNGAAACTAGATCAGAAATACTTGGTAGGGTTTTGTGTTTTTGCTGTGCAGAAACCTTCGCCAGCTGTGGTCAAGTGCAACTCTGCAGACGACGAAGGTTTCTGAGTGCAAATTATTGTAGAAATCACAGAGTTCGACTTTAAATGGCTCAAAGCTAAAACACCTATTAACTCAAACACTGTACATATGCACCCCCCAGACTCGGGGGGATTGTTGTTTTCACTATGAACAGCTTAATGAGGTGTGAAGCAGAAGGAATTTCGGTATTTTGTCGCATTACAACCACAAGCATGAATACATTCTGATCTTTTCAGTATTTTATTTGTAAAATATGTTTTGAGTCATGTATAATTTTCTTTCCACATTAAATTCCAATGAAATATATTCATGACTGTGGGCATAATGTGAAAGAAAATGGAAAGGTTCAAGGCGTACAAATACTTTTGCTAGAAACTCCATGTCTTTGTCTGACATTACTCCATGACTTTCTATCGGCTCAGTTGTTTGGTATTTAACTTTCAGTTGCAGTTTATGTAGATTTTTTGCTAACAAAGCCCCCTCCCGGATACGCCGGCCTCCTCCCAGCAGAACGGGGCCCTGCTGTAAATGTCCAGTTTTCTTGTTTCTTTCATATTATTATCTGACAGCAGCAAAGAATAACTAGACAGAGGGAAGAAATAAACATGATTAAACTAGAATCACAAAGAAGGTAAAGCAGAAGCAAGTAGCTTTGTTCTAATGAAACAGAGACTAATAAGGAACACAGAATAATAATGAAACTGGAATCAATAAATCAAAACCCCTGAGCGACTCGGGTCCCTGATGACGTCCGGTTGTGGATGGCTGCTTGTCTAAACTAAAGCAATCATCAGGCCAGAGGCGAGAGCGTCGTCTGTGTTTCCGCCCTGGAGCGTCCAGGGAAGGGCGAAACGAAACCATCAGAACATTATTTAACTTCACGTGTGTAAACCTCACTGCAGATTCCTCACCACCATTATTTAATCAGTCAGTCAGTTAAGCTTATTTGTGTGTCATATTTCAGCAGCGAGGCCGTTCAATAAATGAAAACACAACAATTACAAATTTATAAAGACAACCCCACGCAGCCAACGGCGTCACATTCTGTCGAGCGCCATCACCAAACTCACACTCATCAACATGTTGGTCAATGTTTCATTTATTGTGATTCCAAAGCAGCTGGGCTTTTAGCATGGATTTAAAGGAGCTCAGTGTTTCGGCTGTTTTGCGGTTTTCTGGAAGTTTGTTCCAGATTTGTGGCGCATAGAAGCTGAATGCTGCTTCTGCCACGTTTGGTAGAGCCAGAATATTTTTAAATGTTGCCACTTTGAGCCGTTCAGTGATTTATAAACTAGCGACAGTATTTTGAAGTCTGCTCTCTGAGCTACTGTTATTATTTCAAGCAAAGATAGAGATTACCTGATTTATAAATAAGACTGTAAGAGTCTTATTTATCCAAGTGTGGGAAATATGGATTATTTCCAACATTACATCAGTTGATTGATGACAGACGCTGATTCAGAGCAGCTTGGCAATATTTATAGTAACGAGCTCCGTTATTGGATTACAGTGTGTAATTGGATTTAGATGTAATACTTTAAGGAAACTATGTGAAATGTAAATCTGTCTACCGGCGGCTGCACAGTATGAAGAAATCATATGACTGATGTATTTTTCCGTTAAAAACCGGAATGGCGATCATAAATTCAGACGCCTGTCGTCCCTTTTCCCACTTTCGTCCTCCTATGTTCTTTCTGTTCTCACTTTGATGTTTTTCCGGTCTGGATTTCTCTCCAGTACAAATGTGTATCAGCATTTCAAATAACCAACTCATAACACATGAGATATAATTGCAAAGAAATATTACATTCCAGACAGTTCTGTAAACGATTTACTTTGGCCTGTGCTGATATTGTGATGATGACATGTTGGTGAAATGCAGCGATGTTCTGCAATCTCATACTAGTGACCAGATAAGTAAATAATTATTATTATTGAATCCATGCTAGGTCATTGGCTCTTCCTGAAGGGTATTGTCATCCGTATTGTGATTTACTGTAGGCACTGACTGATTAATTTGAATGTTTTTCATCATTTTGAAGTGTTTTCCCTGACTGTCACAGTGGGAGAATACCGGTCACAATCCTTCTGCAACAGGAAGCTGTTTCACAATAAAACACCTTTGTCATCTGAGGAGGTTATTACGCCAAAAAAAAGGTGAAGCTTCAAAGCGTTTTTCTCTCCTTTCTGAATGAAACGTGAAACCAAAAATAGAAGCAAAAAAATACATAAATAAATAAAAAATGTCTCATATTCTTCAGATAAAAGACATCCGTCCCAGTTGTGTGCACACGCGATCATTCTGGGATCTCAAGAAAAGCGGCTTGTTCTCTCCTGTGGTTCGTTGCCCCCTATTTTTCATAAATGTGGGAGTTGTTACATCACAGGAGTAGAACCGTCCTAACTGGAAACTTCAAATACTGAGTCCCCGAAGAAACACAGCAGGCAACATAAAGCAGTCATTAGGACATGAAGGCAGGATGAGGATCTGATGCTGCTTGGGATGAGACTTTGAAGAGCCTCTGCCATGTTGTTGGAGTCACGCGGCAAACGGTTCAACATCTCAAGATAATGAGCCGGGCGATTAATAGACGACCGACTGGGGGAAGGAAATGCCTCCAGTCTCCAACAGGTTTTCGAAAATTGACCGTAAATTGTAAAACACGTGAGCTTCACCAGGTGCATTTGGTAAAAACGTCGACACAGACACAGACTGCTGTCTGTGGACTGAAGATGACTGAAGTTAACATTCTGAAGAGTCAATTAGTGGTAACATGACAATTACTAAAACAAAGTTAAGATCCATCTGAGATTAACATAAAAAAAAAATAAAATGAGTTAATAAAACAAAAAAAGAGCTGAAAAAGAACTGGACTGCAGTAATCCGATGGTGACCTTAAGTCAGAGCATCTAGTCTACCATATGTTTTACAAAACCAAAAGACTGCTTCAGTCTGTTTGTTCTACATCTACGTAGACCATCTCTAATAGTTTCATTTTCTCTTGTTGTAGAAACCTTTTGGACATGGACACCTTCTCCAAGTCAGATCCAGGTAAGCTTTCCTTTTTCCATTCAGAGTATCAGTTCTTCTGATGTGTTACTTCATGATATAGACAGTAAGCTAAGCAGATGCTGGTCCACTGGTGCAAAGTGAAGAAGAATATAGTATAATCTATTATGCTCTCATTCTTGAAAACATGACATTCACATTCATTCATTTATGCAGAGTGAACATATACTCCTACCAGCACAGTTGGGTAGTAACTAGTTACATTTGCTCAGTTACATTTACTTTTTCTGTTGCTGCTCCTGTTTTATGGAATAACTTACCTTTCCAGATTAGATCTGCCCACAGCCTGGATCATTTTAAATCACTTCTTAAAACTCATTTTTACTCTTTGGCATTTAATTGATGTATTGTTTTTACTCTGTTTTGTCATTTTGTTGTCGTTCTTGTACAGCACTTTGGTGCAGTTTTATACCTGTTTTAAAGTGCTATATAAATAAATTTGACATTGACATTGACATTTTTGAAAGAAAACGTACATTTATTAATTAGGAGTATCTTTTACTTTGCTGTACTTTTTACTTTTACTTGAGTAAAATATGTTGAAGTAGTGTTTCTGTTACTGGAGTATAATATTTGGCTGCTCTGCCTGCTAACTTTCTAACATCAAACTACCCATCACAGTCCTACAAAGATAACCAGTCATACGCAGGGCCGGCTCTAGACGTGTTTATGTTGGGGGACCAGCTGAGATGTGACGGGGGGCTTCATGGTGCGTTCATGTTATGCTCCAGTTTATTAATTGTTGTTGTTGACCAGAGTTTTCTTGGGAAGTCCTCATGGAATTGGGATCTGTTGTAACATTTCTGGGTTTTTTGTTTATTTTTTTGTCCCGGGATTTTGTTGTGCAAAATGATTGGTTGTCAGGAAGTGCGTCTCACCCGTTGTGTATTTTATTGTTGTGGCAGGAAGTGTCTGATTCAGATTACTGGAACATGTGGTTATAACTCTGGATTAACTTTGAAAAGTGTCGTGTATTTGACCCCCCCTCTCCCCCGCTCTGAAACACCTGATGTGTTTGTTTTTATTTCGGCTCTGATGCGTTCTGATCCACGCCGAACCTATTAAAATGTTACCCCGTCAACCTCATCTCCGCGAACTGGCAGTCGCACGGTAACCTTTGGAGCATTTAAAGGTACAACCCTCTCAACTGAGCGAGCACAACGCCGCGTCTCCAGGGTCAACTGGCACCGAGTTTGAATTAAGCAGCTTCACACAGAAAAAAAGGATTACTAATCACTGGAGCTTGACAGACTTAATGACTGTTGGCCTCACGCAGCATGAAAAAACCCCCTCCAGAGGCTGCAGTGAATGGTGAACAATAGGTTAATTGAAAGAGCTGTTTGGAGAAAGAAAAGAACAGTGATAGCGATTCAAAGAAAGGAGGTTTAGAAAAAGACGGAGCTGTCAGGGAACGGGTTCTGCTTTACTGGTTGTTCAGAAAATAATGGGTCATGTTCATTTTTGGACTAAAAATTTGGTGATGCGCAACAGGTTTTTCAATTTTTTCTGTGATTGCATAATTGTACCAAACGTTTTAGGCAGGGCAGGTGTTTTTGTAAAGCACATTTCAGCAACGGTGAAACTTAAAAATGCCTTTTCATGACGGGGGGAGGGGGGGAAAGCAAGAAACAAAGTGGGAAAATAAAGTAAAACATTAACATGTCGAAAGACAAACTACAGTTTATAATATTCCAGTTATTATTAGTCAAAGGCAGCTTTAAGCAAATAAAGCTTTCAGCCTTGATTTAAGGGAACTCACTGCTGAGTATGAACTAATTAAGTTTCTGCCATACATGACACATTACATTTTTTTTTAATTTTTTTATGACAGCTAATTTGGGATTTAATGAGACGTATCCTACAGTTTACTTTCCTGGACTGCTGTGTGTATTTTCATAAGCGTCTGATAAATTTTTTGATTAAACAGTCTCTGCACCTTGGTCCATCACAAACCAGAACTGGAGCCCTTATATCAGGACAACTTTACCCAAAAATTCATCTTAAGTCTCGATAAGGAAGTGAAACTCCAATTCAGCTGAATATTTTTCACTTGTTAGAATAAATAATCGGTGTTGAATAGTGGCACTTAGATTCAGAGACATTTTTCTTTGCCTTTGTGGATCCAGGTGGAGAAACACAGAACCGTGTTGGAGGGTAAGCGGCGTGTTAAACGGGTCCAGGACTTCAAACAGTTGTTCCCTGCTGGGATGAGGGGGATGCTGGACTCGCTGTGGTCACGTTGCCCCCTCAACTCTTTCATGTCCCTGGGTGGGGCTCTTAGGCTGACCCAGGCGTCCAGCCGCAGGAGGACAGCGTCCGTTTAGTTTGATAATGTCACAGCTTTTACAGCAAACACACGACTGGCTCTCATTGTAATTCCACAGATACAATTTATGATATATTTTATTTTGTACTCTGCCATGAAGCATATTTACTGTTAACAAACACTTATCAATATTTACACTACCTTTTCTGAAGAGTTAAAACAGCTTCCCATCTACATCACAAGCGGCCAGATTATTAACTTTCTTCTCAAAAAGAGATTTTCATTTAACTGTCTTCATTTTTAACCTCAACTTTTCCTACTCACTCACTGAAACACTGGAAATCCGACTCAAATGAAATAATTCAGTCAAAGTTGGGTGGTAACTAGCTACGTTTACTCAGTTACATTTACTTGAGTAACTTTATTTTTTAAAGTACTTATCGGAGTATTTTTACTACACTGTACTTTTTACTTTTACTTGTTTTGAGTAATTATATATATATATATATATATATATATATATATATATATATATAGATGCATCGCTACTCTTACTGGTGCATAATTTTATTGTATCGATGAATTGTCTATCCACCAGTTTTTGTTTTACCGTTTGTGCTGGTGGTCAGAGGGCCCAGTAGGTGGCGCTGCTGCATGGCAGCCTCGCTTCTGTCAGACTGCCTCAGGGCAGCTATGGCTACTATCCAGTAACTTGCCACCATTAATGTGTGAATGTGTGAATCTAGTGTTAAGTGCTTTGGAGTCCTCTGGACTTGATAAAGAACTGAACAAATGACGGCCATTTACCATTTTCATAGCAGCCAGTTCAGGAAAAAGAATAGAAATGACATAACTGCTGACAGTGAACAAACTGTTCATGAAGTTTGTCAGTTTCAAATGTTCGTAAAAATCATCAGAAATAAAAAAAAAGACATTCCCTGCTGCTGAGTCACCAGGGTACACCAGAGGGACTTCCCAACACTTTGATCTTTTTGAGAAGAATATTCAAAGAAAGAAGGAATGTTATTTGGGCCAAAGCTGTGACATGCTTCTTGATTAACTCTAGAGTTCAGAGTTGCACTTTATCATTAAGGGGTGTGTTACTTTTGCCATGACATTACTGTCTGCAAAGGGTTCAAGGAACAGTAACTACAATGTAGGTAAGAATTTGTAGGCATGATGAGGAGAAAGACTAGAAACGGGGGATAGAACCGAGCCCGTTACTGTGGCTGGTGGAGTCCAGACAGAAGGGAGGGCAGAAGTGCATTCACAGAACAAAATGTACAAAATCCTGTCAACGCATCTGGAGAACAGAAGCAGAAGGAAAGAGCAATTTGAGCTGGAAGTGCTTTTAACCTTGAGGAGCCCCGAGGAGACGTAGAGTGTCTGAGCAACGACCCGGCAGAACGGTGCCGACAGTCTCTATGTTAGCAGCTTCCACTCTGCCGGTGAAGCATTGTCCTTTTCTTTGTGTTGTCTCTCTTCTTTTGACTCGATCCTTCTTGGGTTTGCTTGACTTCAAAGAAGCTGTCATCAACAGGCCACCAGTAGTCTGCTGCAAAATGCTTTCTAGACAGCATGGAGGTTTACACCAACCGGGGGAAAGCCCAGTTGGAGAGGAGGTGATCTTGGTAGGTTTGTGGTGGTGGTTCTTTCCATATAGCCTCAAAAGAATTAGTTTTATGCTAAGGATATTCATCCATAAACAATGCTGTTGCAATCTTAGCAACTCGGTTGCCTTTACATAGAAAAATTGAGTCTATTGATACTATGATGTAATATTTATTATGTGCTGTATGATAACCTGTGTCTGAGTCAGAAAGTTTTCATAGGAGTTGCCAGATTGGATCCAGTCCATAGGTTGGGTCCGGTCCATAGGTTGGATCCGGTGCTCAACACTTTATTTAAAAAGTTATTCACTGAAGGTCTCGACATGTTGATAGTACCCTGATTTATCAGGTCCAATTTTCTTAATTTTGGGATATCAGTGATCGACCGATGTGAAGCCAATCTTTGATCTTATCTACATCAGCAAAAGTCTCAAAACCATCCACTGTTCTCTTCAACTCTCCCATTAGAGAGGTTTGACTGACAGACCTGCCCACCGGGTCATGTCTACATGTTTACAGTTAACAGTCACCCCACAGTTGTTGCTGAGTTGGCAACAATTCAGACAAAAAAATTGGTATGAGCCAGTATCGGAATCGGCAGGTCAGGCTTTTTATAGATCTGTAATCGGCGATTGATCAGAAAACTGCAATCACATTGTTTTTGTTGAAAGAACTCTTTCACAGACCTTCCAGTTTCTTTACCATTTACCGTTGATTTAGCGCTCATTTACCGCTGTGGCTTGTGATGTTTTCCTGCCTGAACATTATGACAACCTAAACTAACTTAAAAAAAAAGCACTTTATTCTTTTTCTCTCTCTCTCTTTTCAGTGGTCGTATTGTATGTTCAAGGTCTGGGTACAAAGGAGTGGAGAGAGGTGAGTTACGTTTGTTTTCTTTTATCTTCAGATGCAATTACTGCAGTTCCATAAGTCAGGTTAAGTCAAATTATGTCTCTGAACACTCTAACTCCCAATTGACCAAAGAAAATGCATTACTAAAGTGATTTTCACACACAAACAATCACAAAGAGAGAGAAACGAGTGAGCACAAGTTGTTCTGTGATCCTGGTTCCACACACTGAAAGACCTCATTCTCTAGTTTTAAAATCAGGACATCTAACATGCTAAAGCTGTTAGTTTGGTGAGTTGATTTGGTAAAAAGGCAGGACAGATATTCTGTCAAAGCTCCGTAGATGAGTCAAATAATTTTATCACCAGTCATATCTACTCTGCTAGCAGCAGGGTAAATTGTATCGATTGTCACTAGTATGATAATGTTATGTAATTTGTGTTAAATTATCTGGCTAAAGAAATGTGAATATCTTCAAGGTGTGAAAGATGATGATTCATCAGTAAAGCAAGACTTTTCATTATCTAAGGCTAGTGATCATACATGACAAATTAGAAATATAGCAATTTAAAAAAGTTTATTAAAAGAACCAGCAGTAAATCTTACAACAGTGTCAAGTTTAGAAAGGATTGAATTTGTGTTCATCATGTCATATAATAATTTGACACAAATTATAACTGGAGGAGTGTAACTGTGAGTTTTTAATCTTGAACAGCACCAGGAACACACGTTAACTTTTTCAGTGGAACGACCGTGACCTCACAGCCCGGTGCACGTTCCAGCATTAGCATTATGCTAACCAGAGCAGCATAAGCATCAAAACCACAGCAACGTTCATAACTGATTATCAGTTTTGCAACCTGAAATTTATGTTCGCCTACAATAAATGTTTACACGGATTTGTAAAGAACGTACAGAATAAATAACAAGGTTCTGGTGACTGGCAGAATGTAGCAACACACACATGCAGGCTACATGTCTATGCTAGCTAAGAATATCTGTCTTAGCTAGCAGATAAAAGCTACCTTAGCTAAGCTGATTTTGCTAGTTCGGCAGCAAGTACTTTAAATCACTGATACTTATCTTAGTGCTACACAGAGATGGATAATGTATTTGTACTGTTTATAAATTAGATAGGAGACCAGTTCAGCTGGGAAATGGTGAGAGCTAGTTCCAAGCTAGAAGCAGCTCTCACCAAGCTAGTGAGTGAGAGCTAGATTAGTGCTCTCACTCACTAGCACCAAGCTAATGAGTGCTAGTATTGTGGCTTGTTTATTATTGTCATAACAACTCCATAGCAAGTGCCTGCCAAGATGGCTGTCAGTTACAAAGTTCACAGAAGTGTGACGTCACATGAGACCCATTAGCTACTTAGCTCTGCTACTGGGTCGCTATCAGCAGCGTCCCAAAAGAGAACTGCCAACAGGCTGCTGGGGGAAATTCCCAGTTGAATAAGTTAGTTGGTGGAAATGTTGTGTAAATAATTCAGATTACATTTAAGATACACACTATTAAGGAAAACAGGCTAATAGAAAGTTTAAATCATATTTATATATTATTTTTTAGATGTTTTTCCTCCTTCCATATCAGGGAGGCTAGCGCCCCCTATGGACCAGCCACGACTGCAAAAAACAACAAAGAACTAAATACTGAAATCATGAAATTCATCTCTATTCATTGTGAGAAAATATTTTCCAGCTTCTTCAACATTACTTTCTTTATGAGCTTTGTCACTGATGTGACCCAAAACATTTTTTTTTTCTTTTCTTAAAAATCGTTGGCATTAATTAGTGCAGCGAAAGTTTATTTGGCAGGAAATCATTTTTATTTTTATAAACCCTGAGTGAAGAGAAATTCCTTCAGGCCTGTATTGCCAGGATGGAGTGTGTGTGGTTGGAGATCTCAGATACGCTCGCGGTCCTACTCCTGCGCCTCCTTCCTCCGCCTGCTGCTGTCCTGGACTGCAGCCCTCTGCATGCAGAGCTGTCTGTTTGTGGACAAAAGGAAAACAGTCTGAGTCACTGTGGCAGGCTTATTGTCTCTGTCTCGTGGTGTGTGGGCAGGCCGAACACATTGGCAGATTTGGCTCCAGACACTTTTTGACACAATTAAGAGTCACCAAAAATTTCACACTAATGAGGAGGAAGAGAGGATTATTGCTGCGCCAACAACAAACACCGCAGATACTAGAGCCAGTTCTATCAGCAAATTATTTCACTTGTAACCAGGCATTTTCCCATGTAATACATGAAATAATCTGCCAATGGAACTAGAATGAATTATTCACTTAAAATAAGCTTCTTCGTCTTGCTGAAAAGTTACTTGTAAGTTAGTTTTTACTGTGTACTAAGATATTTGCTCTAGAATCTAGATCAAAAATGCTTGTAGAGGGGGTGCTGTGGTGGCACAGGGGCAAAGCACAATCATAGCTCTGCCATAGGCTCCCATGCCAGTGGCTGCAGGTTCAATTCCCAGCCTGCTGACATTTGCTGCATGTCCTCCCCTTCTCTCATTACCCTCTTTCCTGTCAAACTACTTTCAAATAAAGGCCACTAGAGCCAACAAAACCTTAAGAAGAAAAAATAAAACACTTGGAGAGATTTTGTTGTGAACTGTTGGAAATAATTTGGCAAACAGACAGGAAGGAAAGTTAAAACAAGTCACTGGTATGTGCAGTGAAAGAAAGACATGAACTCTTCTCAGATTTTAATATTTAATCCTTCAGCTGTAGGAATGTTGGATGTGTAATTTTAAAGCAACATATCCTCATTGTAAACACATGTGCTTACATCCCGGAGTGAAGTTGCTCCAGTTTCTTCAAATCAGACCAAGTTAGTGTCAAACATTTGTGCTATGTTTGTGTAAAAAATGAAAGTTTAAAGGTCAAAATGTCAACCAGCTCCCCTCCCCCTCCACCTTTACTAAATCTAAATGACCTTTAAACTTTCATTAATATTTTCAAAGGCAAAGCAGCACAAACGCAGTCGAGTTGATTGACACCAATTTTGTCTGATTTGAAGAAGGTGAGGGGCTGACTTCACTCAGGTTCCTCTTCAAAATGGCCAGTTAAAAGTTCAAAAGCCCCATGTCTCCATTGGATATCCATCAATTAATGGTTGATTTGTTTCAACTGCTTCCAAATGAAAATGTTCAGATCATGCGTGGTGTTCCAAACAGATTTGCTTTAGTGCTGCAAAAAATAACTAGTTCCCCTAAACATGCTAAGTGACACTCCTGCTTTGCTTCATTAGCTCGTTTCACTGCAGGGCTGAGCTGCGTCCACACGGAGGCACACAGCGAATCTAACCTACTTTTTCAGCGACTTCTGGCAGATACCTGGAAGAGATGTCCCATCTCTACTTATTCTGACGTTTTGTGACCACATTGTGGCTGTCACGGTGATTTCCAACTCCGTGATCCATCGGGACAGGCTCGGTTTTTCCTCTCATGTCATCTGTCGAGCTGTTCTCCTTCCTCTCCAGAAGCTGCAGACGGTTCATCACCGATGCAGCGGAGTCCAATAGAGAAAAGTCTCCCCTGATTGCCTCAAGCTGCCACGTTGTGTTCATGCTCTCAGTGCAGCACTGTCAAGTGAGCCTGGATATTCACACACGTATACATCGCGAGCAACGGCCTTGTGTTCGAAATAAATTCACTGAGAGTGAAATGTCGCACGCAGACCTCTTTTCTTTAGTGTTGCATCACATTCGACTGAACGTGATGCAACGTGAATAACAGTAAAAATATCAAACCCTCTGTTTTATGGTGACTATGGTCTTTGGACGAAACTACTCTAAGCAGTAGAAATGCCTTCCTGAAATTATACTGATATGAACAATTTATAGAAATTCTGTAATTCCTTTGGGCTTTTTAGTATAAATCGATCAAAACTGCAAAAACACAAAACCGGACCAAGTATTTTTGGTCTAATTTCTAGAGCAAACATCTTGAAATATCTGATTTTTTTCTTGAAATAAGACAAAACTAACTTACAAGTAACTTTTTAGCAAGATGTAGGAGTTTGTTTTAAGCCCTCCTTATTATGCAAATGAGGAGGGCGATGTCTTAAAGCTTCAACTTCTGCCTATTGGTTGGTTAGCATCACACTTTACTTTGCTCCAACAAAGATGGCTAGCAGTTTAGTAGTGAGCTGAAGCTTAGGAATTTTAACAGAAAATATAACTCCTGACTTTATTATTTTCCGTGGAGACGCTCAGACAGAACGTGTGTTTCAGTTAGCGGCTAACTGTTAGCGCCTCTCATGGACTCAGAGGTTCGCCGTCAGATTTTTGGTCGCTGAAGTTATCTTCCCATTGAAGCTTCGGGAGTTTTGTCAGAGCTGCCAGCTGCGGTGCAGCGATGAGGTGCAGACTTTTCTGTACATAATAAGAAAACTGCAATAGTCAGAGGCAACTCTGTGGAGCTACAAAGAATGAGTTGTTTTTGTTGAGGTAACTGAAACCTCGAGTTACCAAGTCAGAGGCCATCTTTCCCACACCCTGACATCCACAGGCGCATATTATGTGAGGCCATAAGAATATCATTTTTTTGGGAATAAAATGCTGCTTTTGATGCCAGGATGCCTGCGGATGCTCACTACTACCAAAAGGTGACGGGCCTTTAGCTTAGGTTAGGACTGACATGTTGCTTTTCTTGTCTCATCTCTTCTGCAGTTTGGCCGAACTGAGGTGATCGAAAACACCCTGAACCCGGACTTTGTGAGGAAGTTTGTTCTTGATTACTTCTTTGAAGAGAAACAAAACCTTCGCTTTGATGTGTAAGTGGAAATACTCCTAGAAGCTGCTCTAGTCAAAAACAAACTGTGGTAAAAACATTTATATTTATTTAAAACAGATACTCTATCAAGTTATGTAATCATTTTAGTTAGTTCAAAGAATAATTAGTGTCAGATAAGGAGTGTATGGTGGACTAAAGAGAATTTGATTGGGGAACCAAGTTAAAGTAAACATGATGTTTTGATTATTGGATTATTATTGTGTTCCTTAGTCACCTATTTCTATCAGATCAACCTTTTTACTCCTACTTTTTTTACTTTAATCCAGTCCGTTCTCAGTTTATTATGTTTATTTATTACTTGCCTGGAGCTATAGGTCACTCTTAGATCAGTTCCCTCACCCCGGCGCCGTACTTACTACTGGTTCTGCTCTAAATCACAAAACGGGCTTTCCAGCATCATTAGCACCTCCACATGTGAAAAACCTGACTGAGACGTGAAAAAGCAGAGGCTAACAGGTAAATAGCCTCGGGCTCGGTGCCTTCTTTCTTCCCACCAGGCAGAGACGTAAACAGACGAATCCAGAGCGAGAAATGGGAATCTGCGTTTTCTGTGGTGTATTATTTGACACACAAGCGGCGCTTTCTGTGTCAGAAATGAAGAGGATCTGTTTCAAAGATGCCCCTGGTGGCTTATCTGCAGATGAAGCCTCTGGGGGGAATGGGTAGCCTCGAGAAGAGGAAATGAAGCAACACTCCTGGCAGGAAGAGAAAGACTTCAGACAGCATGATGAGCTCCAGAGGGGCTTTTCCTCTTTTCCTCTGCTGCTGATTCGCAAATATGTTTTCTTAATTTACTTTAAAATAACTTTTTGGTGTGAGCCAGGTCCAATTATTTCACAATCACTTGGGATCTCTCTGTTGCTATCAGTGCTGCATGTCAGCCATACACAGTTCAAACATATTTTTGTGTAATTCACCTGGTTTTGTTCACATGTGTCTTATAAAACCTGCTGAAATGTTCTGTTTCATTAAACTGTAGGTACAATGTGGACATGAGGAGCTGCAATCTGTCCAAACATGTAAGTAGTTTAAAGTGTTGCGAGCCACATTAACCTGAGATCTTTTTTTTCTGTAACTTGTTATTTCTGTCTAATCTTTCCTCACTACTTCCTCAACCTGCTGAGCAGAAGGTAAGTCATTCTCAACAAGCCTCAATTCAGACATCAGCATGGCATTGTGAAAGTGCGAAAGTGATTTTTCTTTACTATTTCTTGCAAACCCGACCTTTAGAGCTCTGATTCTATACAAAACAACTTCAAATAATATGAATCTCAATAGTTATGTCATTAATTCTGTTTCCTAAAATGTATTTTCTAACACACAGGACTTTGCTTTAATCTGTATCTACAAATGTTGGGGTGTGGTTCAACATAACTCAGCATGTTTGCAGATATTATAGAAGAAGAAAAGAAAAAAAAAAACTTTTAAGATATCAAAAGGAAGTGAAGGATTGTAAAAACTCTTCGTGTTGAGGTTTACCATGGCGACCTCTCTTTGCTTCGTCCAGGACTTTCTGGGTCAGATATTCTGCACTCTGGGAGAGATCATTGGCTCCCCCGGTGGCAGACTGGAAAGGACGCTGTCGTAAGTACGGCCTACATGACCACCGTCTTATTTTTAACTGGAGACAAAATAAAATTCACTGTCTCACATTTTATTGTTCCTCTGTTTTTTCCCCCTGTTTGTTCATGCTTTAATTTATGAAATGACCATTCTTGACAAATGGAGGAAATGTCAGACATACAGTATGGTAGTTGAGAGACAGACTGGTTGGTAACACTTTATCTGAAGGTTTGCGCATAAGACTGACATGGCACTGTAATGGACATGAAGGAGTCTTTATGAATGTTGTCTTTGAGTGTCAGTCAGTAAATAATGACATTTTGATGCAAAGTTGCTCTAAAACTTGCATTAAAAGTCAATTAAAAAATGTCAACTTTGCACTAAAAGTGTCATTATTTACCGAAAGACACTTCATGACAACAGTCACAAACATTCATGAAGACTTCTTCATGTACTTAATTAAAAATTATGATCATTAAACTAAGTAACCAAAATGATAACAGTAACTTTATGTATCCTTTACACGTTAGAAGAGATGAGAAACTGTTTATTTGCTGTTGACTGTGTATGTTTTTGCCATGATTCGTCTCTTCGATGGAGTTAGAGGAAATGCATTCAAGTGATAATTGGGATCTCAGGTTTCTTCTAGAAAGTCAGAAGTTATAAAGTTTGGACCCACTGCAGCATCAGCGCTCCTGTGCGACAGGCTGGTTGCACATAGTCCATAATAACCCAGCTGCTGGATGAGCCAAAGAGCAAACATCCTGACCGGTCTCTGCTTTGACCCAGTCAACTTTGGACCCTTGATGGTCATCCTCCCGGTCGACTGGCCTTCTCTCTAGCACACTCACCTACTCATTTCAAAATCATGACCTCTATGCCAAGCCTGACCGTAGTGCTGTGCGATACGGCTTGAATCTTGAAGACGAGGCGTTTTTGGATTACCATGACACAGAATACTGGAACCACTGAAAGCTTTGATGGAACCATTTATTTGACACAGGCAGCAGGAAAACTCAGAGCTGAGTACTGACTAGTTACATTTACTTGAATAACTTTTTTTGAAAACATGTACTATGAGGAATATTTTTACGACACCATACTTTTTACTTTTACTTGAGTAATTTTATTATAAAGTATTTCTCCTCTTTCTTGAGTAAAATTTCTGGATTCTCGACCCACTGAATGAAGAACAAAGATATTTTAACCAAAAATCCACCAGACACAGACATACAGCTGCAGTTTTCGTTAAAGTTTTGCAAGTTTTATAATGAAAAGAAATGATTTGAAAAACTTTTCTTTTGCCTGGTTGTTATTTTTTTGTTACTTACATAAATTATTGTAATTTCTGACTTTAAAACACCAAAATTTCCACTTAACTTTATATTTTAATTAATCTTATTAATGTAATTTTTAAGTATTAAATTATTGATAATTTGATAAGTTACTCAGTGCTTATTAAATACTTTTCACCAAATACTTTTTTACTCTTACTTTCGTACAATTTCTGTGTCGTCTGCCCGCCTGTGGTTAGACCTAGAAGACGTCTTCCTTCCTCTCTATTTCATATTATAACAAACATGTAACCACCCTCTGCTCTTCAGCAGTTGTTCCTTTGCTGCTTCATGCATTACTAATTCAGACTGGTTCCAGTATGGTGAGAAAAGAGGCCAGCTTGTGCTTAGGATCCATATTTAAAGTGCTGTAAGCCTGGAGTTCTCAGAGGACACGGCGGCCTCGCCCCAGCAGAACCGGAGCTGATTTGCTCTCTGTCCTTTTCAGCTGAGCCTGGGGTCTGGCACTGCAGATATCCTCCAGACTCAAAGCTCTGCTCCATGCCTCTCTGCAGCGTTTGACAAAGTAATGCACTCAATAGTATCGAAAACCAAATTCAACATACAGCTATTAATAGTAGTCTGAGTGAGGTTCCATGAATTAATTACTTATAAATGGAAGACATTTCAGCGTCTCCTATGTCTTTACTGTGTCAATTCGTCTAAATAAAACTAATACATGTAGGAGGATCCATGATGCTTCTCATGTTTGGTTTTTCAGTGACAGAAAACTTTCATGCTCTCAGATGGATCCCTGTTGGCAGACGGTTTGTCAGTCACATCACCGTGTTTCTGACTTTGACCCAACCAGTGGTTGGACACTATCACCTGACAATAACGTGATGACGTAACTCTGTTTTTTTGAATGTTCTTACATTTATGCAGGTTTTCTTCTTTCGGTTGGGTTGTAGGAACATTTCAGCTTTTCAGTATGTCTTTATAAAGGATAGTTATCACTTTTCCGACAAAATCCTGGAACTTTTCTTTTCACAGTAGACTCTAGATCTACTTTATGCTCCCCCGAAACCTCGTTGACAATATCCTATCTAGGTTAAAGCTAAAGCTTTTGAGAGCTGCTCTTACTTTTAATAATAAATGACCAGCAGGACTCAGACTTAGAAACACAGAGGAAGCTCCTCATCATGCTCGCTTTCTTTATGCTTTAGGAAAATACCAGTAATTTCCAAAATTACTGAGTCTGTTAGTTCCTGTTGGGGAAACATTTTAACCGTTCACAAAGTAATTGGATAAAATGTGTCGCTCTCGCGAATGAAAAGTTGGAGGTGTGATGGCCTGGAAGTTCTGTTCGATGTGTGGAAGCAGAAATAAATCACGAGAGAAATCCTGACCTCGTTTTGAGTCTCCTGTTAAGCATAAAGTGGGGGAGGATGGGGAGAAGGGGCCGTTTAAGTCTGATGTGGAAAGAGTGACGCAGGGACAGAAGGGTTACAGCATTATTTCATGATCCGCTACATTTTAGTAAAGGTATTCCTGAACTAAATTGGTCTCCTCTGAGAAGCTGGCCCTGCCAGAGTCCAGTTTCTAACCTTGAACAAAACCCATCATCTATACTAGTGTCTGCACTAAACCCTGATCATTTTGGCGTTACTGCAGACGTACCGTTGGAAACTGTACAGAAGCTCACTGTTATGCCGCCGTGTTTTGTATTACAGATTTATTCCGGCACATAATTTTATTCAGACACAGGATGTGCGCTCGGCATCAGGAGGCTCCGCTGGGTTTCACAGAGACTCGCTCTCCATGCATTTTAATGAAATTGTAAAGTGTGTGACTCTGACCTGCTTTCATTCAGAATGCTTTATTTGCCTGTGTTTAATTTCGCTGGAGTGTTTTTTTTTTTTTCTTCTTTTGATGGAGCATTTTCTCCCCCTATTTAGGCCAAAACAGCATGGAACTAGTTTCCTTCCAGAGAGCTTAGAGGGGGGCCGTTTATTCCATCTCTTTTCATTCAGCATGGCCGCCGTCAGTGGCGGTTATGTAGATTAAGTTAATTTTATGATTTTAAGTTACAATACGTAAGTTTAAAAATAATTTGTGTTAATTAAAATCTGGTTGTAACGCCTACATTTCTGTTTTAAAAGCCATTTAAAGGTTCTGTAAAGATGTTTCCAGGGTGGAACCAATATTCAGTCTGTTTAGGTCAGAGTGGTATTTTCAGTGACACGTCGGTAAAAGCCAACATTTTTGTTTGTTGTCAGTTCGCAGTAGAGATTTGGAGTTTCGTGCTGCAAAGTTTTTAACATTTGGTCGACCCTTTGATCCGATGAGGTTTGAAGTTTAAATCTGTTCTGGACTAGAGGACTGTGGATCCTCTAGAGATGATGACGGATTCTTCATGAAACCAATACAATTATACACTGATCATCCTCGTCATGAGACCATCTTGGGAAAACAGAGTGTCTTCAATCTTCAAATTTGCTGTAATACAGACTGCTATATCTTTCTATACAGCTTTCTATTAGCCACCATCACTGTCTACAATAACTCTTTGAAGAATCTGAATTAATATGAGTTACAGCGACATTTCATTTCCCTTTGGGATCAATGAGGTGCTTTTGAATTTGTATTTTATGTGTTGATATATGACGATAAGATGTGTATTGATGGCGGACCTGTTGAGTTCCTGTTAGCCACGTCTCTTCAGAGGTGAGGCAGAATATGTTTACATTTTCTAAGTCAAACTACTGATTTGTGAAGGCCTTTAATTAAATAATATACTTTTACCTTACTCAATAAAAATGTATTTTTTAAAAAGTTTTGTGCAGTTCTGATGGCATCGTTGGCATCGCGTCCTGTTAAACGCCAGTAAAACCCTAGAAACTCCTTGCGTCTGTTACTCACCTCGGTCGGAGTTACGCTCAGATTCATCTCCAAACTCCTCCATAATCCACAGTGGGAAGAAAATGTTCTTCGTCTCCTCTCTCGCTGCCGATCAATTTGCTCGTTTCATGTCCGGTGTGAAGTTTCCCATCAACTTTCGCAGCAGGCCGGTGTGAGCGCATACAGACCAACAGGAAAGTGTGTAATGAATCTTCTCTGTTTTTATGAATGAGGCCGTTGGACATGTTTCATTTCCAGCTCTGAGGAGACACTAAGTGCTTGTCTCATCTTGTTTTGCATTAAACAAGATGCTTCTCTTGCTATCACCTTTGCACCAACACATTTCCCAACAACATGCCTGCACTCTAGTCACTACACAGTAACACTGATTGATCAGGATTTAATGAAAACACTGATGTAAAAATTCTGTTTTGATATAAAATTTTAAAATATTCGCATCAGACGCTATATTATCTGCAAAACAATGGATGGATTGTGACACTTTGACCTGCTTCACACTGCAGGCAAAATGCAGATTTTTTTCTAAGTCAGATTTTTTTCAGTCAGGTTTGAGCCGCTCATTTTTTTATTTTTTTATGAGTGACATAAAGCTCCATTTATTATTTTTATTGCACCAATTGACAAATGTCGTCTCAAGATATTCTACAAACACAATGTAAGTTTTACACATAAATAGTGAGATCAGTTCATCCAAAACGTTGAATACGTTTCAGTTTTATTCTAATTACAAATGAAGTTAAAATTACTACAAACATTGAACAGAAAGGGTTTTCTACACAGAGAAACTCACCAGATTGCATCAGGTATTTTCCTTCTCTTTTATGCTTGGAGCTGCAGAAGTGAATGACTCACTATAAAAATCTGTTTTTTACACTAAAACAAACACAGCATGTCATTTATGTCTGACGTTTATCATTTACTTAACACAGTAACTCCAAGTTCCTACTTTTTCCTCTGCCTCCTTTCCATCCATCCTCTCTGCTCCCGTCGGAGAACATGAGATCCGTTCCAATGGAAAGAGCCACTCGCGTCGTCAGCAGCTCTGGAAACCCGTCTCTGGCTGACGGGAGAAGAAAGGTGGCGGGTTTGATTGAGTGTGACTGGATCGGGCAGTTGTTTGTTTTGCAGTGCAGGTGACGGGCGGAGACTTAAATTTGTTTTCTGCTGCTGTGCTCCTGTTTCCTGTCTCATTCGGGGGGGAATGACAGTCTTTGAAGTAGGAAGCTCCAGAGACATCGTTACAGAAAAAAAATGTCACGAATTTTGTAGAGAGTAGAAACAGCAGAGTTACTTTACCTCAGTCTGGGATTCTGGTGAAATGTATGTGGAGGGGGAAAAAAAATATTTTAGAATGAATAAAACCGCAACGATTTTGAGAAATGAGGCAAAGCTCAATCAGGCAGCTGTTACAGACGACTTCAGATTCACCCATCAGTCTGCAAGTCTGAGACTCTTTGACTTTTGGCTTTGCTCAGTCAAATATCAGACTTTCTGACTGTGCGTGAGTCCTGACAGAGACCCAAACAGCATTTCCTGTTGCTGGTTGGTCCGCAGAAGGACTCGACACCATGCCTGTGAGATGCAGGAGAGGCTGTGTGTGTGTTTGTGTGTGTGTGTAATGTGTGTGTGCTCCAGCCCGGTGTTATCTGCCGCCTCCGCAGAGATGAGCGCGTCCCTGCGGCGTAAAGAGTCGATACAGTCGTCCTCCTGCTCTGACCCACGGAGCGTTCCAGATAACTCTTCAGAGAACACAGAGTTAATTGCAACAGTGTTAAATGAATTTATGCTTCGTTGCACGGTTAGCTGCTCAGTGCCATTAAAAGGGCTCTCATGTAGTCGCAACCGTATAAAAACAAGAGATCAAAGTTCTAGTTACACCATTAATTAAGATTGGTAAAATTATTAAAACACAATGGCTGTTCATAAATGTTACGTCAAAATCTTACAGTAAAAGTTATAAAATGTTACATTATGTGTTGAGAAATAGACTGGCTGTGGAAGTGGCTCCGCAATGACTAACTTACACTGAACAATGAAAATAGTTGAGCCAACTTAATTGAATTGCTTCAATTGGAAACACTAAGTTTGTCCAACTGAATTTAAGTTGAGTTCACTTGACAAATTTAAGCCAGTCTTACTCAAATCATTTAATTTACTGCTAAGTGACAGTAAACTAAATGCAGCAATAAGTCGCTTAAAGAACTTGTCTATTAAACAGGGTTTAAACTGCAGGAACATAAAATCTTACCAAGTCATTTTGATCTAGTTTCTAGTACAAATATCTTAGTAATCTTAAAATAAGACAACAACAAAAAAGCTTGTAAGTAAGTTTTCAGCAAGATGTAAGAGCTTGTTTTAATCAGTAATTCCTTAATATTGATGAAAAAGTTCCAGTTCCACTGACAGATTATTTCACTTATAACATGGCATTTTTCCCATGCTGCCTTTAGTCCCACCAACGCCTCAGTGACTTTTGGCAGCGTTGTGTGAGGCAGTGTGTTCAGGTATCCTCACTTTCTTTACTAGAGTGGGAAAAGTCGTTTGGCTTCTTGCAGCGGCTCATTAATCACGTTAGCATCCTTTGTTACAGCTGGAAGGTCAGGATAGATTGATTAAAAACCGAAACCGCCGTGAGAGGAAATCAGACGAGTTGGAATTATTTGTCGGTTCAAGTTGAGGCGTTTCGGCTGACCTTGTGCTCTCGGGGGGTTACGTGACTGCGTTCACAGAGCAGGAGGAGGAAGAAAAAGAGGAGGAAGGCTGGTGGTGACTCCCGAGCTCAAGGGCGCAAACGGCAAACAGCAGAAGAGACCGTGCGCATTGTTACCGCCGTGTGTCGTCTTCTCCAGATGTTTGCAGCAGCGGCTGTAAATTTCAGTTGCCATTTTAATCAAAGTGCGTCAGACTGCTCTCTCTCTCGCTCTCCTGCAGAAGCGTAGCTTCAAGTGGATGGAACGAATTACCACGTCGTGCTGTGAGGTGGAGTGTGACTTAACAGCCACAGGGAATTATCAAGAGGATGAGAAGGGTTTTCTCCTCTCTCTATCCCGGCCGGAAAACTTTTAATTACACTCTCGTCCTCCTGTAGAGCTCTTACAGACAAAACCCAAACGGACCAAACACGAAACGAGCGTCGTTTTACCAGATCTCAAACCACAGCGAGGACGACAACGGGTTGCTGGAGCAAATGTTGCTCCTTGGTTCTCCCAAGAATGAGATATTTTAAAGCTTTGAAGTGTAGTGACAGTGATCTGATGTTCCAAAGATAGAACGGCATCTGCATGGCTTTTAGCCTCTGTGTATTCTGAGGCACTGGTTCATGTTAAAGACAGCAACTCCAGCTGGCTTAGTCTAATCAGCTGGGAATCTGGGTCACCAGTTTCAAAGAACATCCCATCTCTTCTGCTTCCTTTTTTTCACAGTTACTTTGAAAGTGTCAGCCCGCGTACGACAATGCAGACTGATTATTTCAGCTTTGGGTTTCTGTTAGAAAAACGTAGAATCGCCGCCTAAGAGGAAGCGCTAACAGGCTCTTGTCTTTTTCCGTCCGTCATTCTGCAGTAAAGTTTGTTTGTTTATTAGGATTCCCATTGCTGGTGTCCTCATTATAAAAAAAAGATAAACAAAAGCAGTCACACACACTTAACATAAATTGGTTGCCAGAAAAGCTGGAATGAAATGAGGCTTTCATCTTTGATTCATTAGGTTTTATGACTTCATCAACCAGCGGTGCACCGATTGCAGTTTTCTGGTTGATTGCCGATTACTGATCTGTAAAAAGACTGAGCTGCTGATTCCGATTTTGAATCGGCATTTTGAAAAATGCAAATTTTTTTTTGTCTGAAATGTCTAAATATAGCAAGAAAGTGCTGAGTTGGCAACAGTGGAGTGACTATTAACTACAAACGTGCAGACATGACCTGGTGGGCGGAGCTAAAGGTCAAACCTCTCTAATGGGAGAGCAGAAGAGGACATCTGTTGATTTTTAGACCTTTCCTGAGGTAGATAAGATTGGCTTCACATGTATCGGCCGATCACCAAGCCCAAAATTAAGGAAATCAGTGCATCCCTGTCATCCACTGATTTTTGCTAATTTTGCTCGGCATTTCATAGGATTCATAGCACTAAATACCTTAACAAAACACAACTGTCTCTGTTTTTTTTTTTTTTTTTTCTGTGACAGTGGGATACCTGGGAAGAAGTGTGGCTCCATCGTCTTCACAGCCGAGGAGCTCAGCAACTGCAGGGTTTGTATTTAATCATAAACTCATAAACTCACAGCTACTCACTTGTGTAAAAATAAAAAAAGAATCTAACACGGTGTCAGGAAGGTAGTCACCTCGGTCTAAATTCATGATAGTCACGCTCCGGTTTCAATTTTGAACTTTACGAAGGGAATTTAATTGACTGTATGGAGTCTTCAGAATAATTGTCATAGAAGGCAGGATTAATTAATACTCTTCCTTCGCGATATTGATGACAGATCCTCATACATTATCTAATCATTTTAAGCATAAATGTTTCTGCTATGTGTGACCAATAATTAGCCACAAAAGGAGAAACGTGTATGACACAAACCGGCTCATGATGGTGTCTAATGCTGTGTAGGTCTAATTTGCCCCAGTTCTGGATTCGGTGATGAATCACAGAGTCTTAACCTCAAAAGGACATAGATTTAGAAAAGTAACTTATTTTTTAAAGAACGATATTGTGTTCTCTTAATCCGTTTTTAACAATTTCAGGATGTAAATGAAAGTTTGAACTATTTCAACTCTGGAGTTTCTTGCTGTGCAAAAGACCTGAAAACGAGCCTTGTTCTCTCAGGACATAGCCACCATGCAGTTCTGTGCCAACAAGCTGGATAAAAAGGATTTCTTTGGGAAGTCCGATCCTTTCCTTGTCTTCTATCGGAGCAATGAAGATGGAACGTAAGTACATTTTTATCTACTGTCTGTTCGGCCTTCAGCCAACACCACTCAGCTTGGGGAAGTTTTTTTTTTTCTATCTTGTTACTTAAAGCTAATGAAAATACCAGATCTCTCTGCTGAATCTACCCCAACGGCATTCTTGAGCATTCCCACAGCCACATTATGAACTAAGATAAACTTATCACATGGTTCCTTATAACTTTAACTTACTTCTTTGCTTAAAACGGATTCACTTGTTTGACCTCTGTGCTAAATGTCCTGCTTGTTGTTACCAGGTTCACAATTTGCCACAAGACTGAGGTGATCAAGAACAATCTGAACCCTGTCTGGCAGTCATTCACCATCCCTGTTCGAGCTCTTTGTAACGGTGACTACGACAGGTAAAAAAAACTTAACTTTGACAGATCTACCATTCGGCTCCATGTATGCAGGTGTCCTGAAACATCAGAGCCCCGTTTCAGAAAGCAGGTTAACAAACCCTGAGTAGACGGCAGATACTCTGAATGAACTTACCCAGCCCTGTGATGCTCACAACATGAGACATCAGCAAGGTAACTCAGTTCTGAGTCAAGTTACCCCCTGAGTTAAGCGTGAGTGCGAGTCCTCATCAGTGGAACACAGATAACGTGATTCACCATGGCGACGGGAGAAGAAAAGAAAAGAAAAGCTGAAAGACTGATGATGTTCTGATGATGTTCTGGTTTGAACCGTCTGACAGCGTGTGATTCTGTGGCAGGTCAGAATAATGCCAGCAGTCGGCTGTGAAGTTCATCTTGGGCCAGTGCTGGTGTTATTGGGACTGTCACAGAAGAAAACTTCACCAGCAAACTGCTCATATCACACTCACTATGTGAAGGTTTTGATTCTTCCTCACAGGAAATGGAGGTATGCTTTATCTCTGTGGCACAAGGAAAAGCATGATGATGACTTCATGTGTCATCCAGTCCTATTTTTATTGAATTACCTTAAAGGGGCAGGAGATCAGTAAGAGCTTCTTTTCTGAACCTCGTAATAACAATAATCTGTTTCACTATCAACACTGTTTTGTGGACTGTGGAGCACGATAAACACAAGAGCACAAGACAAACACACACCTTATGAATGTTGGAAAGTTACATATTTTAGATTATCAAACAAGTTCTAACTCTTGGCAAAGAAAACTTGAATATGTGCAAAATGATGTTTCACAAAGATCTGACCATGATCTTCATGAGACTGTTTTAGGAAAACAAGAGTTTCTTCACTTAGAGGCGTCTTCAAATTCAACTAATGCAGGACATCTTTTCCTGCCCACAGCCATCACTATCTATAATAACTCTGAAGAATTTGAATTAATATGAGTTACATTTAATTTCCCATTGGGATCAATAAAGTATTTTTGAATTTAGAATTTTTTGAAATTTCTTTTTATAAAATAAAAAACAAAATTTATGGAAATCCACCCAGAGGAGAAAAACTCATTTCCCTTGATGTGTGTACTGCTCGGCTCTCACTCTCAGTGGCGGCATTGGATTTATTTGAATCCCAGCTTTGGTTACTGACTGTGGTTCTGTTTCCGTTATGGTTCTGTTCAGTAGATTTGCTTACAGTTTTTTGTTTATTTGTTTAGTGTGACGTAAAAATATCAACGCTAATCCTAACCCTGTTACCATAGTTAAATGTGATGCTAAGAGCTGAATCTTTGTGTTTTAGCTCAGTTGGCTCACAAATACAGCTCAGTAACCAATAACCATTTATCACTGATTGGTTTTTAGCTTGGCCCCCCTTCTCCATTATCCGACCACATCCATATTGAAATACATTTAATGGTGCTAATGGTCTTAACAGGAAGAGGCACAGTCTGTGTCTGTGTGTCTGTCTGTCATCTTTCCTGTCTCTAGATTTCTTTCTCACAATATTTTTCTTATTGTTAGGATTCATGTCTCGGTCTCAGTAATCAAAACAGACGTTTTCACATTGATCGAACTCTGATCCGTCACCATCAAATTCAATGAAGGTGACGTCATTTGAACGTGTCCTCACAGTGTTATTATTAAAGGATAAAAAGCGTCTAAAGAAAAGTTAACTTTCTAACTAAAAGTGCCCCCTGTTTTTTGATCTTTCTCTCTGCTGTTTCTTCTTCTCCCTTTTATTTTCTCTCCTATCTGTGAATCTCACCTCGGCTCCCTCGTCTTGCCTCCCTCCAGGACAGTGAAGGTAGACGTTTATGACTGGGACAGAGATGGGAGGTAAATTCTCTTGTTCACCGTCTCTCGCCTTTCTTTTGTCCATTTCATTTTCAGGCTCCACTCAGAGCACCTCAAATGTCACACCAATTTCGTCTAACCCAGGGCGTCTCATTATAGCAGATGGATAGCTGCGCTCGCCTGGCAAATGCTGCGTAGCGATTCAAAAGTTGTGCGTGGAGGTTGTCACTGAGAGAACGGGAAGACAGAACGCGGTTTGGCTCTTTTTCTCACTGGTGCTGGGATGCTGTAGGGGCTCTCCTCTCACTTTATTGGTTTTAATTAAAAGATTTGCGGGGGGTTTCCGGCCCGCTGACTACACGTCTCGGCTTGTCATAATTTGTAGTCTTTTGTGTCTGAACTTCAAAATGTTCTTAGGTTCTTTAAAGTCATGAAGTAAATATCGGTAGAGTCACGGTAAAGCAGAAAACATGTGGCAGTCGTGAGCAGAGTTGGGCAGTAACTAGTTACATTTACTCAATTACATTTACTTGAGTAATTTTGTTTACTAGACTGTACTTTTTACTTTTGCTTGAGTCACTTTTATTATGAAATAATAAAAGTGACTGGTCATGAGTGCATATTAACATCATCAGATCTTTATCAGATTAGGTAAAACCCAATTTAAATGTACATTTTATGTTGTTGTTGCTGTTAGTAACTTGATGACAAAGTGGAAAAAAAACAAAAAATGGCCTCATTGTTCAATCAAGGAAGGGACCGACTGACTGATTACTTGTAACTTTACCACATAACAGAATGAAAGGATTTACGGTGGATGTTTTTACATTCTTTTCTTTAAAAAAAACACACAAAAAAAAACAATCATAACAAAGCATGCCGGGTTTTTTACAAAAAATGTTAAAGCTGATTTCTATGACATGCTGGTTAGGTTAAAAAATTTGTAACATAAAAGAAGTGATTGCATAAAACCGTCTTCCATTCAGTAGATTCACCTTCGGCCACAGTCAACAGACACTGCAGTTTTACTGCCAAGCTGTTCAGCGTCTCTCAGCCTTTTCAAATCCAGCCACAAATTCTCCATGGGAATGAGGTCTGGGCTTTGACTAGGCCACTCTGGGTCAAACCATTTCAGTGCAGCTGCAGCCGGACTTTCGGGTCGTTGTCCTCCTGGAAAATAAATGTTCTCTGGAGCCGTAGTTCTCTTACAGACAGACCCAAATTGTCCTACAGGATTTTCTCATATTCTGCCATTAATTTTACCTTCTGCCATTGCAAGCCTACCAGCTTCACGATGGAGATGATGTTTGAAGTGAAGTGCTGGTATCTGTGTCCTCCAAACACAAAATCTGATGCTGAACTTTGGTTTCATCCGACCAAAGAACTCTCTAGTCCAGCCTTGATCTGAGTTTTCTTCCACAGCGGGTTTTCTCATTGCCTCTGCCCCCACAAAGAACCAGGGCGACAGTTATTGTCATCATTTACTGAAGCTCCTTGTGCGTCGTCATGGTGATCTGGAGTCCTCTCTTACAGGTTTTCACATGGCCGCTCAGTTTGTGAGGACAGCCTGATGTGGGCAGATTTAGACATTTCGTATGAAACTTTTTTTTCTCCTTTTTTTTTTGTCAGTCATGACTTCATCGGAGAGTTTACCACCAGCTACAGGGAACTGTCCAGAGGCCAAAGCCAGTTCAATGTCTATGAGGTAAGCTGTGTAAGGAGAAATAAAAAAAAAACAGTTTCCGACTTAGTCAGAATGTGAAATACATAAAATATCTCGTCTCTCTTATTGAGAGTCAGAGTTTTAACATTGTCTCTGGAGCTTTGCGCTGCAGCACTAGTTCCTTTATTATTTATTCTTTTCAGTGATTGCTTTGTTCCTTCTTCCTTTTGAGTTGAGATCATGAGAATAACATCCAAACCTCAACCTAACTACTGCAGTCACTGAGAGCCGTGAGTTAGCTGATTGTTATGGTCAGTAACCAGGCTAACATCAATAAATGCTAACAATGTGCATCTCTGGTTTTAATACTTTCAAACATAGAAACAATGTGTTAGCTCACATCATTGGTTGAAATAATGGCTTCAGATCAGATGCCTATATTTGAGCAGCTGCCATATTGGATTCTAAGTTTGGGTTGATCCAAAATCGGTTCTTAAAATTTCAGTGCGTTTGGCTAAACTTTTCCTATTTGGAACTTGAACTTTAAAATCTACAAGAATAACAGGAAAATGTGTCAAAGATATTAGGTCTGACACAGTAATAAATTTTGCTTGACGATAAACTGTCCCAGAAGTTATTGCGATAAACAATAATATCGCAGTTTTGAGACTATTTTCAAGTAATTTATTGATAACATTTTTTTTAGTAGTTCAAATTGACCTGACAAAAAAGAAGACAAAAAAAAAAAGATTTGTACATCACTGAGCTGGTTTTACTGCCTATTATGTATTGCATATGAACAGACTGAGTTACATGATATTCAAAAAGCTTGAACCTTGGAATGTGAGTAATGTTTCTCATATTATATATATATATATATATATATATATATATATATATATATATATATATATATATATATATATATATATATATATATATATATATTTTTTTTTTCTCTGAAGATAACATGATGTGGACATTAACAGATGCACTGAAGGTTCTGCAAAATCTACGCTCTCTTGTGTAATAACTGTTACTTTTGTGTTGCTTGGTTTAGGTTTTGAATCCTAAAAAGAAAGGAAAAAAGAAGAAATATGTCAATTCAGGGACGGTAAGACCAACTTGACTGTTTTTCACTACTGGATGCCAACATATATTACTGAACAACACTCCTGGCTGCATGGACTTTTATCCAAGTTATAAAAATATATTTGCAAGGCCCCTGACTGGGACGTTTCTCTCGTCTCGTACCGTCTCGCCGTTATTGTTCCTTTCTCCTCTATTTTTCATCATCTCCCCTTTCTCCATCTTTAAGGTGACTCTCCTGTCTTTTAAAGTGGAGTCGGAACACACATTTGTCGACTACATCAGAGGAGGGTAAGAGCGTGGTCACAGATGATTCACAGAGGCATGGAGGGACTTATAGAAAGATGAACTTAACAGAGGTTTTTATTATTGAATGACGGTTGAAATGTGACAAAGATAAGTATAAAATACATGATTCTCAAGCATCACTAAGTACAATAAAAGATTTAGTGAGGATGTTAAGGTATGGCTTTCTGAAACTCAAATCTAGCAGATTTGACTAGAAGTGACTTTAATTATGTTAGATAAAATCACTAACATAGCGATTTTAGCTATAAAATTGAAAATTAGGTAGACAGATCAGGCCATAGAACTTACATTACTGAAGTATTTTTTGTCTGACTGGATGTTTTGCCGTTCCACTGAATAGTACAGATAACTGAATGTAATAATTAGAAATAGAATATTTGGAAAAGAATACAGGTAGACTTTGAAACAAGGCAAGATGTTCATCTTATCAGTATTTATTCTCCCAATCAAAGAGAGAGGGAGAGAACCCCATTTCTGAAAGTCTTTTGTAAAACCAATATCTTGTGTCTTGTGCCAGGACACAACTGAATTTCACAGTGGCAATAGACTTCACTGCGTCCAATGGTAAGATGCTTCACATTCACACACGCAGAACATTTTGAGTAATCTCTTGTAACAGTTTCATAGAAAACATACTCTAATCTTAGAGATAACATTAGAAATATCCAGGCTGTGTAATGTTACACTTGATTGTGTAATATTGTTTGAAGTAATTATCAACCTTGTAGCTCTGATCAGGCATACTTGAACATCCGTAGCAACATGGCGATTGGTAGAGGAAAAAAAAACGGTGGGTGGGTGGGGTGTATTGTTTAAATTTTTATTTTTTTCGATATATATCATGTATAAAATATCTTTCCCTCATGAAAAATATATCAAGAGTTTTGTTTTAACTCATTGATGGATGTGTGGCAGCCATTTGGGGGCGCCTTAATATCCGCTCATACGATGCCCCACCTATTTACCCAAAGCTCCGCCTCTGAGCATCAGGCCCCACCCCCACACCGCTCCACCAGACTAGCGGCAGCAGCAATTAACAAACACCTGGTGGAACTGGCCGTTACACAAACGGCAGCGCTCCTAAGAGAGGCTGCAAGGCATCAATGGACGACACGGAGAAGCATCGTTATGACGACTTGCTGAGGGGGGGAGTGTCACAATGGGTAGGAGGTTCTTAAAGAGACAGAGGCCAATTTCGAGACGTCAGAAATGCCACATCAAATTTCTTTTAAGTTGTCTTTGATATATACAACATCTTCATAAAAAACTGAACACAGTAAGATAGTTACCTGATTGTGGTATTAACGGGGCTGATTATGCATAAAAGCAGATAATAAAGTATTTGCTGGCAATGGTATCATTTTGGGTTTTATAAGTGAATATAGTTTGGGGCAGAGACTTTTTTTATTTTTATTTATTGTTACACCACTTGTAAGACCGAAAGCTTTTTCATGACGTCAACTTTAAGAGTCATAATACATTTTAAATACTGCATTTCCTTTATGAGCAGAGATGTTTTTCCGTACATGCATATTGGCTTTTCATTCCATAGGAAATCCATCCCAGCCCACTTCTCTGCACTACATGAGTCCATACCAGATGAATGCGTATGCCATGGCCCTGAAGGCTGTGGGGGAGATCATTCAGGATTACGACAGTGACAAGCTCTTCCCTGCATACGGCTTTGGGGCTAAACTACCTCCAGATGGCAAGATCTCCCATGGCTTCCCACTGGTAAGACAGACGTCTGGACACAGCCACGGTTTGGTCTCATTTGGTTCATTGAGTTTTAAGTTAGATTTTTCCGTATTTTGTATTTATGAAAGACTAAAAAAAAAAAATCTGCAATTACAAAATTCCTTTTGAGACTTTGTCTCTTTGACTTTAACTTTACAAATACTTTTGCACCAAAAATACTTCCATAGCAAATGCTCTCATTAGGGCTGCAGCTAACAATTGTTTTAATAATGGATTTATCTGTTGATTATTCTCATGATTAATTGAGAAAGCATTTTGAACGTATATTAGAAATACATTAAAAGATGTGAACAAACAGTTCAACTCTTTTTTTAAATAACAAAATTTAAAAAGATTTGCCTAAAAAGTGACAACATAGATTTCCTTTAGCGAATGCTCGATCGTTTGTAGCAAAGGATTCATCTCCAGCTAAAAAATAAAAAATATAAAAAACTCTTTTCTGTTTGACTTGACATCAGCACCATGTAGGACTGATCTGATGATTATGTTTTGGATGGACCAATTAATAACTAGAGAGTAAAATGCTTAATATTAGACTTATTTATAGAAATTGAACCAGGTGAAGATAAAACTATTCCACATGAGGAATTCTGGGTAGACAAAGTCTGTGTTTTTTTTTTTTTTTTTTTTTAATTTTAAAGGCAAAATGTATATATTTTTGTGC